TTTTCCTTAAAATATTTTCCATTAATATATGATTTTTCAAATAACATATAGCTAGATGTCATTTTCACCATATATTCACATCTCTGTATTCGAGCTCTGTAAAATAAAAATTTCACTGGACACTTGTTGAAAAGTAAGGAAAACTTAGTTCAAAACTATGGCAGAGAATTCTGGCATTGGTTGTACTGAATCTATAGATTTATTAAGAAAAAAATACTTTTCATAATATTGAATGTTCTATTCATAAATACATTTATCTCCTATATAATTTTAATGTTTTATATTTTTCTGTGCAGAATTCTTGGAGGTTGCTTACTAAAAATATTACCAAATATTTGCCTGTTTTGATGTTCTTGTAAATTTTGAATTTTTAAAGATTCTATTTCTAACACTTTCTGGTTGGTGTATACAACCAATTTGTCTGTGGTGATTTGAATAATTCATTTATGGAGTTTGTTGCATATTTTAAATGCACTGTCATGTTTCCTTTCAATGAGAAATTTGCTTTTTGTCTCCAATACTCAAAACATTTTTTCCTACTCAATGAAACTTCTAGGGCCACCAGCACATTGCCATCTAGAAGTAGTAATATCATATCTTTGTCCTTTCAATATTTTGTGGTCAAGTAAGATTTTTCACCAGGTTTTCCGTGGCTATCGTTTAGTAGATTAAGAATTTTATTTTCTATTGCACTCTGCTGAGTTTTTTATTATTACAAAAGACTTCAATTTTATTTTTTATCTGCTAATAAAGACTTTGATTTGTTGATATAATGATATGCATTAAATGCTTCCTAAATATTGAACAACCATGAATTTCTCTAATATACTCACCTTTGTGGTTATATAAAATCACAGAAAGCTCTGCTAATATTTTGTGAAGATCTTATCCATGTTCGTGATGACATTGATCTGGGATTTTTATTTTTCATTCTACTGACATTTGTGTCAAGTTTTGGTGTAAAAGTTACACTGGCATCATGTAGCAATCTGCAAAATGTCTCTTCATTGTTTTCTATGGAAGAGTCAAGGCCATTTATTCCAGAAATTATTTGTTAAAATTTATTTTTCAAACTGTGTTTGTAGACTGTATGTTGTTATTCTAATTTTTTCCCTGATGTTTGGTATTCTCCTTTTCCTTTTTGGTATCTTGTAAAATAATGTTCCCAATGTTTTATCAATTATATTGGTCTATTTAAAGTAATAACTTTAGGTTCCATTGATTCTCTTTACTGTATATTTTATACAAATAATTTCTGCTGTTATTTTATTCTTCAGTTATCTCTACTAATTTTCCATTATATATCTAGTTCTAGAAAGATAATTTCAGGCCACTGATTTTCAGACTATCCTTTTTAATATTGTGTGTGTGTGTGTGTGTGTGTGTGTGTGCTTCTAAGCAGCTGCTTCTCACACATTTTCACATACTGGATTTTCATTGTCAATCGGTTTCAATGCACTTTCTCATTTTGAATCCATTTTCTTCTTGATGCATGTGTTGCTTAATTTCCAAATATATATTTTAATCTTTTGTTTTGTTTTAAATTGATTTCTGGCTTAATTTCATGGCAGGAAGAAAAATTACTGGGTATAATTGCAGTCCTGGGAAATGCACTGACTTCCTTGAGGGTCTAACATAGGATCAATTGTTATAAACATTCCATCTGAACTTGGAAAAGAAAACTGTGTGTTCTTCAGTTGTTGGGTTCAATGCTCTAAAGACCCATGCATTCATATTGTTAATTATGTTTTACAAATCTTTTACAAATGTGCTAATTATCATTGTTTTTCTTTTATCTGTTAGTGAAAGAGAGAGAAATGTTAAAAATCTTCCATTATAATTGAGAGTATTCTATTTGCATTTTTAGGTCCTTTATTCTCGCTTGGTAACTTTTTGTGTCATATCATTATGTATATACACATTAAAAATTGCTATTTATTGTGGGCAAATAGAACATGTTATTAAAATATATCTGTTTGTCTCTTAATGCTTTTTACCTTATAATCTAATGTTGATATTCATAAAGCATGTCAATTTTATTTTTATGAATGTTTTCTATCATTTTACTTTCCATATTTTTAATCTTCCTCAACCACTTTTCTATATGAGTCTTTTATAATAAGTATATAGCTGAGTTTTATTTATTAAGATAGTCTGGTAACTTTTGTATTTTAGAAACAATAAGGTAAATGCATATTTGCTTCTTGTCTATTACCTATTTCTTCTCACTTTTTAATATTTCTTTTCTCACCTTTTATACCATCTTTTGCATGGATTATTTTATTTATCTACTATTTACATCTATTTCTTTGTTAGTCATACCTCATTATTTCCTTTAATCATAAGGCTATACATTACAACATGTATCAGTGATTAATTACAAACCCTTTAAGATGTTTATGACTTCCTGGTTAATTTATAGATCTATGCTTCTAAAGAAACTTATTATTACAAGTGCATCTCACTCCTTATTTACTTGGAATTATAGTTGAATATTTTAATTTTATGTTTATTTATAGCCCCACACGACATTACTGTTTTTATATATTTTAGAATTAATTGTAGTAACACAAGTTTTTACTGTTACAATTTTTTCTTTATTTATTTCTATATCTCCCCACTTCTATCTAGAATAATTTCCCTTCTATTCCTTTCATTTTACCTTTATTGCAGGTTTTTAAATTTTTATTTTAAGTTCAGGGGTACATGTACAGGATGTGCAGCTTTGTAACATAGGCAAATATGTGACAGGGGTTGGTTATACAAATTGTTTCATCACCAAAGTATTAAGCCTCATATCCATTAGTTATTTTTCCTGATCCTCTTCCACCCTCCAGTAGGCCCTGGTGTGTGTTATTCTCCTCTATCTGTACATGTGTTCTTATCTTTACTGTAGTTTTGCTGGAATATTCTTACAAGTAATTTTTTCCACAAATATATTCATTTCACTGAGAGGTAGGTGTTGTTTCTTCCAATTATCATGCTATGTCGAATGGGCTCCCAGCAAAGCTGTTAGTTTCTGTGAAGCTCCACAGAAACTGTTTAAGGTTCAGTGTGAAGGCCCCAACTTTGGTCAAACTTAGGCTTAGACTCAAACCTCCCTATCTAGCCAGGGTGCTTTATGAACCATGAATGCTGATGATTTTACATAACAGAGTTGCAACCACAAGGTTTGGACATCCTAGACTCCATGGATAGCCAGTCAGGGATTGTGTTTAGCCCTACATATGAAAATTGAGCTATGACAATGGAGCCACTATCGTAAGTTCTGTCCTATCATGTTCTTGTTGAATCCTGGCCAGGAAGGATCAATACTTTCCGAATCATGCAATGCAGAGTCCCCAATCCAAACTGGGACAATACTCCTAGACTCCGACGCCTGCTCCATTAGATGTTGAATGTTCCCTCTCAGTGTGCTAGGAAAATGAGGACGACAACCATACCAGTGGTCCTTTGTCTGTAGTGTTTTCTGATGAGCATGCTCTAGCTGCTTTTATGCAAGTAGTGATGTGCTGCTTAGATAGCTGCCCTTGTCTTCATGACACTCACTTTCATCGTTAAAGAAGATTTTCCTGGCTACAGAATTCTGAGCTAGCAGTCATTTTCTATTCTACTTTAAAGATATCATTCCATTATTTCTTGATACCCACTGTTTCTCTTGAGATATGTGCTCAAAGATATTGTTATTCTGCTAAAGTTAATCTTTCTTTATCCTGTCTGCATTTATGATTTTCTTTTTGTTACTTTTTGCATTTTTTTTTGCAATTTGGCTGAGATATGCCGAGTTGAGGTTTTCTTTGAATTTGTGTTCCTTTTTGTAGATTTTGCTTTAAATTTCTGCCTTAATATTTTTCATCAGTCTTGGAAAATTATCAGCTATTTTTTCTTCAGATGTTACACTGACTTGCTTCTGTCCTTGCTGACATATTTCAAGTAATCTCTTAACCCTAAGGCTTAACCACTGGGATCCTAATTAAGCATCTTGGTTGTTGGAGAGAATTTATTGTGGCCTTCTTGGTCCCTGATATAGTTTTCTTCTTTATAACTTTGGGCATAAAATGACTTCATAATTTCTCACGTTCTTTGCTTTAATTGTATTTGAAAAGTAGATTCAAAAGCTGAGTTCCTCCTCAGTTTCCTTCTTTGTCAGATAAAGTATCCTTTTAATATTGTCATACTAATTTTTAAAATATTTTATTAAGAGTTGTTCTCGGCGGGGTGGTGGGGCAAGGTGGCTGAGTAGAAACAGCTCTGGTCTGCAGCTCCCAATGAGATGACACAAAAGGCATTTCCAGCTGAGATACCCAGATTTTCTCATTGGAAACTGACTAAGCGGTTGGGGTGAACCATGTAGAACAAGAAAATGCAGAGTGGACTGATGCTTCACCTGGGAGCTACACAGGGCAAAGGGGCCTCCCTCCCCCAGCCAAGGGAGGCAGTAAGGGACCATGCTATCCACCTGGGGTTCTACACTTTTTCCATGGGTTTTTACAATCTGTAGATCAGAAGATTTCCTTGTGTGCCTACACCACCAGGGACTTGTGTCCCAAGCACAACACTGGGCTGACCCATGGCAGCTGCACAGGTTGGATCCGTTGGGACAGACACTGAGTTGCAGGAGTTTTCACATTCTCTTCCCGGAACTCCAGGGTGGCAAGAAAGCCATCCACTCCTGTTGAAAGGAGTCTGAAGCCAGGGAGCCAGGCAACCTCATGCAGTAGGTCCCACTCCCATGGAATCTTGCAATTTAAGGCCCCCTGGCTTGAAATCCCCACCCGCCAGCACAACAGCCAGGAGTCTGCTTAAGATAACTGAGTTCCTGGTATGAGGGGTAACTGACATTACTGCAGCTCTAGTCAGCAGTGTTTGCCTGCCAGTGCTAGGGAGGCTGGATGGGTTATACTGGGCTGTTCCCCACAGCACAGCACAGTAGCTGTGGCAGTCATGGCCAGACAGCTTCTTTAGGTGGGACCTGGGTCCAACCCTCCAATTTTCCCAACATAATTTGTTAAACAGGAAATCTTTTCCTCATTGCTTGTTTTTGTCAGGTTTGTCAAAGATCAGATGGTTGCAGATGTGTGATGTTACATCCTAGGCCTCTATTAGAAGTCAGGTGGCCTGATGCCTAAGTTTCAGACGTTGTTATTGGTCCATTCAGGAATTTAACTTTGGCCTGGTTTAGTCTTGGGAGGGTGTAAGTGTCCAGGAGTTTATCCATTTCTTCCAGATTTACTGATTTATGTGCATAGTTGTTCGTAGTAATCTCTGATGGTAGTTTGTATTTCTGTGGAATCAGTGGTGATACCACCTTTATCATTTTTTGTTGCATCTATTTGATTCTTCTCTCTTTTCTTTTTTATTAATCTGGCTAGTGGTCTATTTTGTTGATCTTTTCAAAAAACAAGCTCCTGGATTTATTAATTTTTTAAGGTTTTTTTTATGTCTCTGTCTCCTTCAGTTCTGCCCCGATCTTAGTTATTTCTTGTCTTCTGCTAGCTTTTGAATTTGTTTGATCTTGCTCCTCTAGCTCTTTCCATTTTGATGATAGGGTGTCGATTTTAGATCTTTCCTCGATTCTCATGTGGGCAGTTATTGCTATAAATTTTCCTCTAGACATTGCTTTAAATGTGTCCCAGAGATTCTGGTACGTTGTGTCTTTTTTCTCATTGGTTTTGAAGAACATCTTTATTTCTGCCTTCATTTTATTGTTTAACCAGTCGTCATTCAGGAGCAAATTGTTTAGAGTCCGTGAAGTACGCGGTTCTGAGTTAGTTTCTTTCTTTTTTTTTTTTTTTGAGACGGAGTTTCACTCTTGTTACCCAGGCTGGAGTGCAATGGCACGATCTTGGCTCACCGCAACCACCGCCTCCTGGGTTCAGGCAATTCTCCTGCCTCAGCCTCCTGAGTAGCTGGGATTACAGGCACGCGCCACCATGCCCAGCTAATGTTTTGTATTTTTAGTAGAGACGGGGTTTCACCATGTTGACCAGGATGGTCTCGATCTCTTGACCTCATGATCCACCCGCCTCGGCCTCCCAAAGTGCTGGGATTACAGGCCTGAGCCACCGCGCCCGGCCCTGAGTTAGTTTCTTAATCTTGAGTTCTAATTTGATTGCACTGTGGTCTGAGAGACTGTTTGTATGATTTCCATTCTTTTGCATTTGCTGAGGAATGATTTACTTCCAATTATGTGGTCAATTTTAGAGTGTGATGTGGTGCTGAGAAGAATGTATATTCTATGGATTTGGAGTGGAGAGTTCTGTAGATATAATAAATTATTCTTAAGGTAGGCAGATTGGGTTTTTTTTTTTTTTTTAGACATAATGCTATGGCACACTTAATAGACTCTAGAGTGTAATGTAAACATAATTATATATATATTGGGACATCAAAAAGTTGTGTAACTTGCTTTATTGTGATATTTTCTTTATTGTGGTTGTCTGGAACTGAATCCCCAATATCTCCATGGTATGCATGTAGTAATATTTCCTTGTGGTTGAATTTGTACTTCCTTGAAAACATACAAAGTTGAGCACACATTTATATACTTTTTCTGATCATATTCTAGTTTGAAGTGCTATATTTCCTTGATAATATTTAAAGTAAATTGTACCATTTGTAACTGATTTATAGAAATTCTTCATGTATTCTGGATATAAGCCCTGTATCATGTATATAATTTTCTTTTCCCTTTGTTAATATCACTTTTTTGATGAATGAATGTTATTAATATCCAAATAGTCCAATTTATTATTCTTTTTATTATTGCTAAAGTATTTCAGGCCCTATTTTAGAATTCTTTCTGTGCTCTAGGTTCATGAGATATTGTACTGTTTTACCTTTCAGTTTTATAAGGATATCCTGCACTCTTAAATCATACTATAATGCACCTACAATTTATGTTTATGCTTGTTGTAAAATAGGGATACATATTTTAAAATTTTCCATTTGGAAGTATAATTGACCGTCACTTCCCCTTTTTTATAGAACTAAGTTTGAATAAAAAGCTTTGCTCCTGTGCCTTCTGCTGTGAGGGAGCATCTCCAATAGGAGCTGCTTTTCAGCATAGCCCAAAGGCTCCATGGTTCTGTCCTAAAGACAATTTAAAACAATTCACAGCAACCAACTCACAGGTGCCACCATGTTACAGCCGCAAATAACTTACGGTATAAAAGCCATTGTATAAGAGTTATCCAGAGAAACAAAACCAATTGTGTGTGTGTGTGTGTGTGTGCGCGTGTGTGTGTGCGTGTGTGTGTGTGTGTGTGTGTGTGTGTGTGTGTTATTTATTGTAAGGAATTAGCTCGTGCATCATGTAGTAGGAAACTGAGAAGTCCCATAATCAGCTGCCTGAAAGCTGCAGACCCAGGAACGCTGATGTCTTAGTTCTAATAACTGGAGGACAGGTAATGTAGCATATATAAAATTATGTTTACACTTCACGGTCAAGGACAGGGAAGACTGATGTTCTGGTTTAAGCAGTCAGGTAGAGAGAGTGAATTCTTCTATCTTCTGTTCTTTTGTTCTATTTAGGCCTGCAGTGGATTGGATTATGCTCACTCAGGTTGGGGAGGGTAATCTATTTTGTGAATTCTGTAGATCCAAATGGTAATCTTATTAGGAAATATCCTCACAGACACACCTAGACATACTGTGTAATCTAGTCACCCATGTTTAATGTTTAATTTGGGTCCCAGCCAAGTTGACATATGAAATTGACCATCACATCCATTAAGGTTTTTAGGTTGTTAGGCAGAAAGCCTTAGTATAAACTGCCTAATATTTAATTTGGGGTCTGTAGGTGTAGTGCTGTTGAGACAAAAACATATGTCCTTGACGTCATGGCTGGCTCTCTAGCACCATGGAAGCTGGAAATACGTTAACTACATTTGCAGTAGTTAGGCATTTGATGAAAGTCATTCTAATAGTTTTGTAGAAAATAAAAATGTACAAAATGTTTTGTACTTTTAAGCAAGTGTTTATTAATATTGCTTGATTTGTAACAATGATTTCAAGTCAATGCATTTTCCTGTAAGACTGTTTTACTTGAATCCTATATTTAATATATAAATATATAGTTATAAGAAAAACTTCAGCTGAATTAAATTTAAAGGAGTTTAATTGAGAAATGAAAGCTTTGCTTTTGTGAACTGGGCAGCCCCTAGAATCATAACAGATTCAGAGACTCTACCACAGCCATATAGCTGAAGATTTATAGCAAAGAAAATGGAAGTGAAGTACAGAAATGGGAAATGAGGTATAGAAACTACTGGATTGGGTACAGCACGATGGCATTTGCCTTACTTGAACACAGTTTGAACTCTCACCAGTGTATGAGTGGTTGAAGTATGGCTGCTGGGATTGGCCAAGACTCAGCTATTGTTATAGGTGCACACTCCTAAGTTAGGTTTTCAGTCTTGTCTACCTATTAAGTTAGGTGGCAGTTCATCCACAAGGACTCAAATACGGAAGTATGGAGTCTTTCTCAGGCCATATTTAGTTCATTTTAACAATATATGCAGTCATGCATCACATGGTGATGGTATGTCCTGAGAAATGTGCCGTTAGGCAGTTTTGTCCTTTCGCAAACATTGAGTGTACTTACACAAACCTTGATGGTATAGCCTAATACATACCTGACTGTAGGGTTTAGGCTGTTGCTCCTAGGCTACAAACCTGCACATCATGTGACTGTACTGAATACTGTAGGCAATTGTAACATTAGTATTTGTGAATTGAAACATGTCTAAACCTAGAAACGGCACAGTAAAAACGGTATAAAAGATAAAAAGTGGCACATAGGCATGGGACGTTTACCTTCAGTGGGATTTCCAGGACTGAAAGTTGTTCTAGGTGAGTCTAGGAGTGAGTAGTGAGTGGGTCTGAAGGCCTGTGATGCTGCTGTGCACTACCATACAATTTATAAGAACTAGTCTGCATTTAGGCTACACTAAATTTAAAAAAAGTGTATTTATCTTTCTTCAGTAATAAGTTAAACATAGTTTACTGTAGTGCTTTTACCTTATAAACTGTTAATTTTTAACTTTCTTTTTTTAACAATACTTAGCTTAAGACACAAGCATATTGTATATTTGTGCAAAAATATTTTATTTACATTATTATATAAGATTTTTATATTTTTAATTTTTTTTCTTTTAGACTTTTTGTTAAAAACAAACACACACATTAGCCTAGACCTACACAGTGTCAGGATCATCAATATATCTATCTTCCACCTCCACACTTTGTCCCACTGGAAGGTCTTCAGGGACAGTAACGTTCATTGTCTCCTATGCTAACAATACCTTCTAAAATAACTCCTGAAGGACCTGCCTGAGACTGATGTACAGTTAACTTTATACATATATATATATATATCTTATCATATCTATATGGCAGTGGTCCCATGAGATTTTAATGGAGTTGAAAAACTCCTATAACTTTGCAAACTCATAGCCATTGGAACATTGTAGTGCAATACATTACTCATGCGTTTGTTGTGATGCTGGTGTAAAGAAACCTGAGCTGCCCGTTGTTGAGAAGAAAGTGTAAAAAGAAGTATATATATATATATATATATATATATGTGTGTGTGTGTGTATATGTTAGCATGTACCTCATTTTTAGTATATGCTTCATATTATTTTAGCATATATGAAGTACATGATATTCATATTATTTAGCATATATGAGGTATCTGCTAAAATAATAAAAGCATAGTACAATAAATACATAAGCCAGTAAGCGTTTCTTCTTATTATGTTATTAAGTATTGCACACTGTTCAAAATGGTGTGTGCTATCCTTATTTTACACAACGGGCAGCTCAGGTTTCTTTACACCAGCATCACAACAAACGCATGAGTAATGTATTGCACTACAATGTTCCAATGGCTATGAGGTCACTAAGCTCGAGGAACTTTCAGCTTTATTGTAATCTCATGAGATGACCATCAAATAGACAGTCTGCTGTTGACCAAGACATCCTTCTGAGGCACTGCATGACTGTATCTTATTCTCACTGGGACTCTTTTTCATTCAGTTTCTAATTTCTCTTCATATTCCTCTCTAA